TATTCGTCGTGAAAAGTATAGTGGTTTGGAACCACAATTTGTTACATAATATGTCAGCTACCCACACATCTTATGTTGACAAAATAGAAGAGAATAGTGGTATACAGTCTGTATTATTGAATCCAATCTGAAAAAAAAATCACAATCATACACGTTGTGTTTTAAATAAAGTAATCAATCCCAAGTTATAATTTTCAAACTTTTCCTAAAAGTCCCTTACAATAAATAAAGTTGAATCTCATAAATAGTTTTGTGTGAAATAACAAAATACTCATTGAGATTCAGCGGATGTAAAACGTGGCGCAGATGTAAATGCGTGTTTCCGTACTTCTAGGTTAGCCGAGCGGAAGGCAGTAATGTTAGACCAACTGTCAATCATTTGACAAGTTAGGATTGCATTTCTAAGTGACTCGAGGGCTCACATGAAGGTGATCTTTAAGATTTAGCAAGACTGATTTTTGCAAATATCTGCTTATCTTATATAAACATCCGCCTTGTCTTTATGAGCACTAAGACGTCTGTGTCACACAATACATTTCACTGCTCATCGCTTTTTTTCTTTTTCCAGGCCCCGAAACTATTATACCGTCATTCACGCTGTTATGGCTTTAAAGCATATTCCTATCATCGGTGTAATCAAATAGGTAGTCCATGTGGTCGCATCTTCTCAAAGCCACGCGTGAACGAAGCTACTGCCGAGAGCACCCGTATGATGCATACTAAAATTGTAATTTTTATTCAGGACAAGGGAACGTGATTCCAACCAATAACAATTGATCGGTAAACACCACGTGTTCATAATGTGTCATCGTTCGCGTATATATTTTAAAATTGATCGCCACTAATCTATTGTTATTTCGATCATAACTTATCTATTGTAAATTCAATTCTAAGTAATCTGTTGTTATTTCCTTCAAAACTAATGTATTGTTATTTCAATCTTCTTAACTAATTTGTTGTTATTTCATTCAAATTAACATCCTCTATGTGTAATATTATATGTCAATCCTAGGTAATTTGATTTGTAATTTCATTTCCATATTTGTCCCTAGTCCACGTTTATTGTCACAGACGACGATGACCTGACCTGCAGCTTACACAGCGAATAAATTATACCTAGTTTTTAGAGGGTGTCTTTTTTTCGGTTGTTATTTCAATATCAATTCTCGATGCGAATTAACTATTTTGACTGTATACATTTTATATTGTGAAAGGGATTGCTTTTGAGTATGTATACTTATTATCATTTGTATCAAAGAAGTGGGATTTGATGCTGTTAAATTTCAATTTACAACGAAAGCTGGAATAGAAATATATTTGAAAGTTGTCAATGGGTTGTTTAATTCTATGTAGACAGAAGTGTAAATATAAGGTCAATATTTTACTGGTATACAGTATGAATTGGTGCAATTTGAATGACAACACGAAATGGAGCTCTGGCAACCTCGATTTATATTATCGTTCAATCGTTCAATAAAGGAATGTTTCCCGATAAACGCCGCCATATTATAACAGACCGACTATATACCGTCGACGGAGTTGAATGACGGACGACGTTATGAATCAACCTTTTGCAGTCCTCTCTAAAATCAATGCGTAATATTTGCTGTCGCCGTCTATTGGCATTTGAAGCAAACTACACACAGTAATTAGTGTGCTATTAATATCAAATATACAGGCCATCTGTACAAAGTGAACGCCTCGACATTGAGGACCAGTTATTCTATTTAACCACAATGGGCACGTAAATCATGGCATCGTTGATTGTCATGATTTTTCTGATCGGCTATTTGAAATCTAACCCAATCGACTACACGGATATACACGTGTTTCTGTCCGCGGATGTGGATAGTCAATTTGTCGAATAAGTCAGCGTAGTTTAATGCCTCAGAATGCTTTATATAATATATGGGTTTGCTAAGTAAACTTACTTAGCGTGTACGGTAATGTATGCCTTAGAAAAACGGAAATTCCCCCAGGCGCGATTAATTTCAAATCTGCCAAATACTTAACCGAACAGTCTAACAGTGTCAGCGAGTGAACCTCTTTTCTATAAACCTTTTTTGTTTAAATAGTTGCTGATTTTTGGTAGTGTATAAATTGTGTGTTTTATTTTATCTCATACATCTTTGGCTCATCGTACACATTGTTGTCAGGGTGGTCTCGTTAATATTGAATGAAAGGATGCCGTATATTAATAATTCACTACAGATACGATATTTTTCATAACCCGCCTCTCGCTTCGCTAATATGAGTAAAATGACGTCCATGCCCATGTGACATGAAACGCCCCATCACCATCATTTACTTACGAACCGGATATGACGGCA